GGACCTTTCCACGTGTTCTTACACAGTTTCTATACCTAGTTGGCAAGTTCAGTGTAACACATCTTCCTGAGGTAAGGGAGTTAACTGACAATACAATGTACCCCCTCTTGAAAAAACAAAAGTCTGTTTATGTTGTCAAAATCAGAGTTTTTTAAATTATCACTATTGATTATATTCCATGTGGGTTGTATCATGTGACAATGTCATTGGCTATATAAATATGGATAGAAGTTTTTATATGTTATGATGAAAGAGATAAATGTTTACAAGTTCCCGCCCTCTTATTAGTGACTGAATGGTCGCACATGCAACTGAATATTAACACTGGCACCCTGATTTTGCTTTTGGCCGCCGATTTGGCCTCCTAATTATTGTCATCTTTACTGTGAAATTAACTGATGCATAGCTGGAGTGAGTGAGTGAGTTGGGTTTTAACGCCGCTTTTAACAGTATTCCAGTTATATCAAGGCGTGTCAGCTTAATGTTGGAGGAAAGCCCGAAGTGAAGCAGGTCTCAGACATTTACCACTTCGGTGAAACCCACGAGCCTGGATATGGTGCTGACAAACCTAGAAACATAATCGGGGCAAACCGGGATTTCGAACCCACAATCAAAGGTTTCTGGCGTGCCCAAGGGATGCAACTCTGCAGAGCAAATTGCAGCGCTTTAGACGACTTGGCCACCCGCGCCCCGATGCATAGCTGGAAATTTTATTTGCAAGACCTTGAGGAAACAATGTCCATATTCCATAGCACTGATGATCTCCGTTATGTAAACACTGCAATAACACAAACTATGCTCTGTCTGAAATAGTTTTCAAGTAAAAGTCGTAATATCATGAACATCGCAAGCACATTTTCATATGATATGTTTCGTATGATATGCAATCCAGTGAAAAGTGCATGTGTTGTAAGCTCCGTACATACTGCAGAGAATGCGCTATTGGGTTGTTTTTATACAGTGGTGGTGCATGGAGTGTTGACTTTGCACTTTGACAGTGACTTGCTTGCAATGTTTTCTAAATTTCATCAATGACGCCCAAGCAGTGAAAATGATGAGAGCAAGAACATTGCGAAACCTATGACATCAGCATCGGGGTGGGTGGTTGAGGGTCGAGGTGGTACGAGGGGTGATGAGGGGGGAAGTGAATCTAGTCAGTCAACTAGCAAGTCATCGTCATTGTCATCATCTGCTCATCGTTCTACGTTTAGTATTCAGAAAGACGGACAAACACCCTGTTGTGCCTTTCGTGAGGTGTGTCTAAAAGAATCTGAATGGTCACATTTCAACAAAAATGGGATGACATGCTTATTGTTCAACAAATCAATCATTTGCAGGGAATACTGATTTTTGTATATGCAATATCAGGAGAGAAACATGCGAGGGGGGATAAAATCTGAGGCCCGCGCCCCCAAGAATATCATAAGGTTGGTTCCTGATCTAAGGCTGAAGTGTGTACTTTTTAAATGTCAGTTGTGTTTGCTCCTCTTAAAGATATCCAGGGGTAAATTATTTACCAAGAAGGCGAAGTTCATTTGTAAGCATATTTGAACTGCGAAATATTGAGTAATATACTATATGCAGACACCTGATAATGAACATTTAAATGGTTTTTTATCATTCCGGAACATATCTGTTACAGTCCTCCAATGTGTGTGTTGATATGTTGAATGAAACATGATGCGTCATAAATATACTGAATAAAATAGTTAGGAATCATGAATATTTTGGGGGATATATTTATGAAATTGTTTGCTCAGTTTTCACCACACAAAAAAATATCCCCCAAAATATTTATGATCCCGATCTTATTTTGTTCAGTTTATGATCAGAATTTCCGATACAAATTGTGACGGATAGGAAGGATTGAACATCATGGAAAAGAGAGATCCTGAAAGTTAATGGCCCAATCTCTAGCGACATCCATCAAACAATATTTCTTGTTCACCCATGCAGCAGTAAACAGATTTCTCTCAACAAGCAATATGCACTTATGTGACTTCAAAGAAGGTGTTGAAAATATGGACAATTACTTTATCCATTTTTCTAAATGGGGAAGTATAAATTGTATCTTGCTGTTGATGTATATTCATAAACTTGATCCTTGTAAAATTAAAGCTCTTTTTCGAGAAATGATGAAATATCTTGATCAAAAGGTTGAAATCATGATCATAAACTTGACAGTCCAGTAAATTATTCAAGCTTTGTGGATTTTCTACTTCCAGATTTTTCTTTTATCTTTTAATTTCATTTGGGGGAAATATTGTTCCTTTGAACACACCATGATTCATGAATGCTTCTGGTTTTGTTGTTCATGGCATTTGCTTTGTCACTTTAAAAAAATAAAAATAATTCAGATTAATGTTATAGGGATTTGAAATGAACGCTCAAAATTCTATTTATTTATTTTCTCTGTTTAGCAAGTTGGCCATTGCCTCAAGAGACCAGGGATTGGAAATGGAATGATTAGGATGGAATATTGCTGTGGTCAGTAGGTTCAGCGTATGGGCACAATAATTGTATTGCAATATGTTGCAATACAGAAAGCTTTATTGTGTTACACATTGCAATACGTATTGGGGCCCAAATTATATATATTTGTACTGTTCACATCATACTTCTTCATACAATAATCCAGACTTCAGATTTACCTATTACTGTATTCAACGTAATAAGCATTCAGGGTGCTCTCAAAATTAGGATTAGGGGGTTCTTATTAAAGTTGAAAGATAAATTTCATGTTCATGTACTACAGATATTTTTTTCCAGAATTTAATTCCCTATAATTAAGGGTGCATATAACACACGAGTGCGTATCATAGGCAAATAAATAAGTCTTGTGAACATTGATCAATCGGAAGGGGTGCTAATCGGGATTGTTCACTAGCCAATATATTCGCAAATATCGCTGTGGGCGCTTATTAGAGGGGGGCGCTAATTACGTCAAATACAATTTGTCATCTATATAGAATTTTTATGTAATCAGCGTGAAGTGTGTGCTGTTCACATGGGTTAGATAGGAAACAAGTCCATCCAAATGCCTCAAGGTAGTAGATATAATTTATATAATTATATATTAATTCTTCGTTGGTTGTATTGTGATATGTGTATTGCTGACAGCAATATTGCAGTATGCAGGTATATCAGTTATATTGCACAGCCCTAGTGTTCAGATTTTTGTCTGATTTCTGGAATAAGACACCTTGTAGATGATGCAGCAGCTGGTGACGACCACAGAAGGATGGAATGGAAAGGGTGGGGGTTGCAGGAGGGAACATCTTGTATGTTTAACTTCTGTGGAGGAAGTATTTCAATACGAAGTTATCGGGTAGCTCGGGCCTGTTATGTAGAGGGGAATGTCCGAATAGCTCTCCATTCCTTAAAAATAATGGAACTGAGGCGCCACAGCGGTCGAGGCCCATTATTTTTTAGAAATGGAGAGTTATGAGGATATTCCCCTACTTAAAACACATTCCTACTTTTACACTTTGATAAAATATTGTCTTGTGGAAAAAATTTAAAAAATAAACCTATTTTGTGTGAGTCGCCTTTTCATGATGCACGAGGAATATGTTTTCTGCCGCTGTTGCACGTGCACCAAGCTCTGTAATGAGCTAATAATTACAATGCATAGTACATAACGCTATATAAATTAGTGATGCCCTAAACTAGTATTTTATAAATCTCTTGCATGTTGTAAATACATGCTGATTGGTATTATTGGAAATATAGAGCCCTGAGCAAGGATATATATGTTTACCCGATATCTTTCATCATCAAAGTTTTATCTAATTGCTATAAATATGAACATTGTTGTAGGTTACCCATTGTAACACAACATAACATCCATAATATATTTCAGCTTTTACGGATTATGCAAATATCTGAAAATATTAGGTAATTTCAGACTGTACTGTCATGTGTAGACAGCTAGACTTACTCAAATCAAACAGTGCGGGTTCAAACCCCGCTGGCAACACATGTTTTCAGCAAAGTTTGAAATAATTCACATGTCAAAATAAAAAAAAATAGTTTAGTTTATTACAAGTGTAAATCAATTGAAACATTGGTTGAAGATAATGTATCGTTGACAAACAACTCCCCATTCCTGAAAAATAATGGACCATTTAAACAATAGAATGACGTTACAGATGTGTTTTATAATAAGGTTAATTTCAAAGGAGGTAGGTTGTTGAATCGCCATGAACCACCAACCTGGATCAACCATTGAGAAGTAAGCTCTGACTTTTCATTCTCTACAATTTTTTCTCCAAATTCTGTATATCATCTGACTGCCAATGTTCTGAAGACATCAATATATTATGTATTTTGTACCCCGACCTGAAAGGGTGGGGGTATATAGTTATACCAAGGAATTCCGCCCGTCAATTCTTCTGTCCTTCTGAGGAATTATTTTTGCGCGACCTATAACTTGAAAACTACTAAATACATTCGTTTCCATCTTGGCGAACACCCTTAATATCTTTAGTAGAGGCTCAGTGCAATGTTTGTTTTCAATATTTTTCATTTTTTAATGAAACATTTGTTTGACCTATAACTTTAAAACTACAGAATGGATTCTTTTCAAATTGAGGGAACAGTTATCATACTAATAGAAGAATTTAATTTTGATATATCGGGGTAGGTATTTTCTGGCGGGTTTTTTAGCTTAGAATATTTTTTTACTTCAACATTTTTGCGACATATAACTTATGGATTCTTTTCCACTTGGGGGTACAGTTTCTATACCAATAGGAGAGGTGCAGTGCAAAGTTTGATTTCGATAAGTGGATTTTCTGAGAAAATATTGCTTTTTTCATCTTTTGAACTTAAAAATGATGTTGGAGTTGAAGTCTGGGGTATTAGTGAGCACTGCTCACTTTTTGCCTTGTTCTATATATTTTTCAACCACCATATTACCCTATGGTTTTGAAAACAGTCTTTATGCATCATAACTTTGGGAAGGTGTTGTTTAACTCAGCTGAATTGCTGTGTTTCAGAGTTCCACGGCGTGAGGAGCTGCAAACCCATCTGTGATGCAGCAGCAGGCAACGTCATCCCTGATGTCGCTCTTGTCCTGCCTGCTGTACATCATCGCCAACATAACGGCCATGTTCCTCTACTGGCTTTATCAACAAGCTCGGGACAAGAAAGCACAACAGGATGGCAACTCGGACGAAGTTGATGCAGATGGAATGGAGGTTCGCCAACCGATCCGATTCAAGAACCAGCCATCATTATTGGCAATGCTTGGACTGGAGCCTTACCATTCACACACATTCTTCGCTTTTGAGGACCATTTTCATACTTTCGAGGCAGTCAGCAAAGGGTGCAAGCGAGCTGGCTTGGAAAAATGTGGTTTGATAATCGGTGTGGACTTCAGCGCCAGCAATGAATGGCAGGGAAGAAAATCGTTTAGTGGCCAGAACCTACATAGAGTGATCACAGGGAAAATCTATAATCCGTATCAGAAAGTGATATCCATCATTGGAAAGACCTTAGAGCCATTTGATGAGGATAATTTGATCCCAGCATTTGGTTTTGGCGATAGTTCCACCATGGGTAAAGACACATTCCCGTTTATGCCAAAATCGGAGCCTTGTTGTGGTTTCCAAGAGGTGCTCGATCGTTACAGCAATATTGCCACGAGGATAACGTTAGGGGGCCCTACAAACTTTGCTCCCATTATTTACAAAGCAATAGAGATCGTACAAAAGTTACGCAGCTACCATATCCTGATTATCATAGCAGATGGGCAGGTTAACGAGGAGGATACAACAATAGAAGCAATTGTCGAGGCATCTAATTACCCACTGAGCATCATCGTCGTTGGTGTGGGCGACGGACCCTGGGACATTATGGAAAATTTCGATAACTTTCTACCGCAGCGCAAGTTCGATAATTTCCAATTTGTGAATTTCCATGGGGTTACCACAAAAGCAAGAAATCCAGAAACATCTTTTGCACTACATGCCCTGATGGAGATACCGGATCAGTTTAAGACGATCAAATCTCTAGGATACATAGAAAATGGTCGTGAGGGAATTCATAATGTGGTCAAACGGGAAAACTAGAAAAAATAATTCACTCAAATGAGTTTTTTAGTTGCTTAAAGGTATGGAATTTCCTGGATTGTCATTAGGAAAATCTTCATGAAGAATATAAATCTCGAAAGTGGTCATGGAGTTTTGGTGATCAAGGACTAAATAATGCAACGAATAGATCCCAAGACTCGTAAGAATCCGAGTTAAGTGTTTGTGCCGTTATTTGGAAAGAGAATTACTCACTTAGGAACTCCATCAGTGGAATAAATTCCTCAAGAAATCTAGGAAAATATCAATAACAAATGGACCCTGTGAGGATTTATTGCAGAACAATTGATAGAATGTAAAAATGCTTTTTATGGTATGTTTGGTGTTTGGAAGATTACATTCTGCTCAGTGAGTTGAAGACTTTCTTGAAAATATGTTTTCAGGAGCACACCATTTGATATTCAGAAGGGGGGCTGTGATAAAAAAAATTAATTGGCTCAGAAAATTATTGAATGGGTTTGAGATTTTTTAAATTTTAAATGTTTAGGCTCATAATTTTTATTTTTAAAAAATCTCGGTTTTGCAACTGTAGATGAAAAATGTATCTGTCTTGATACAAAATCCCAGATTCAATGGCAAATTGACAGCTGGCGCTGCTGATACTGCAGTCTGGTTTCTTTGAAGAGGATTTTGGCCTTTGACAAAAACATTCTAATGTGTATTTTATGAAAGGACAGCTCATGTTATATTTATTTTTTAATCAACTGAAAATGGTATTTCCTTTATGAAATAGGAGTGAAATATCTTTTTTACTCCCAATGGAATCTGTTTTGTCGGATGATCGAGGCTGTTTATTCTGTGGCGTTGGTGTTTATATTTATTCTATTTGCGAACTTGATTTGCATTTATCAGCTATTCAGGATGTAAGGTCGGAGTATTATTCTTGTTTTATTGTGTCCAGACATCGCTGATGTTGTAACAGTAAAATGTGACAAGATGTGGTTAAAATAAGCAAACCGATTGTGTCACTGATAGTGTAATAATGGGAGATGATAGGACTTTTTCTTACTTCTCCAAATTTTAAAGCTTTGACCTAAGATTTGATTTTTTAAGTGGAAAATAAGATAAAAAGATATAAAAAACATTATCTTTATTTTCCCACATTGACAAATGCATTGCATCTGCTTCACTGTGGGCCTTCCCCAACAGTCGCCATGAGAGACATGACTTCCTGTTCCAAGTGGCTTTCAAGTGGAACTCCCTCACTCACTCACTCCCTCACTCACTCCCTCACTCACTCATTCACTTTGTGTCCGGTGCTATACGTGTCAGTGTGTCCCACACATTCGTGTGTACAGGCAGCCTGGTCTTGCTTATTATGGAAAACAATATTATCAAAGTACAAGATTAATCAGCAAAAAACATGTTTGAAGTGAGAAGGGTGGTATATGCGATGTCATGAGATGTAAATAAGGGTGTGTGTGATGATAAGGGGTGATAAGGATGTACATATGGGTTTACATGTATGTGCGAGATCAAATAACAAGGATTTGACAGGTGACTTAAAAGGTGTGTGTGAAATGGTAAGGTTGTAAATACAAAGATAGAAGTTTCCTTGTGATTTGAAGGTATAGAAGACATGGCTATATATGATATGTGTTATATGTGATATACATCTTACATGATAAGGGTGTACATGTTATGTGATAAGGTTTGCATGGCGTGTGATAAGGATTGAATTTATATTGGATATGATTGTATGTGTAACATAAGGATATGGATGTGTGGTTATATTATAAGGATGTATGTGCTATGTGTTATATGATAAGGGTGTAATTGTGATATAAGGATGCATGTTATATAAGGATGCACATGGTATGTGATAAGGAAGAACATATAATGTGATAAGGATGCACATGTTATGTGATAAGGATGCACATGTTATATGATAAGGATGCACATGGTATGTGATAAGGATGCACATGTTATGTGATAAGGATGCACATGTTATATGATAAGGATGCACATGGTATGTGATAAGGAAGAACATGTTATATGATAAGGATGCACATGTTATATGATAAGGATGCACATGGTATGTGATAAGGAAGAACATGTTATGTGATAAGGATGCACATCTTATATGATAAGGATGCACATGTTATATGATAAGGATGCATGTTATATGATAAGGATGCATGTTATGTGATAAGGATGCACATGGTATGTGATAAGGAAGAACATGTTATATGATAAGGATGCATGTTATATGATAAGGATGCATGTTATGTGATAAGGATGCACATGTTATATGATAAGGATGTACACGTGATAATTCGGTGTGACATGTAGCTTTAAACAAGATCATTATATTGACCTTACTTTAAACATTGTATTATTCATTAAATCTGTTTATACACTTCTAGCATGTTTAGTTTTAACCAGATTTAAGCAAGCACTGCACAGCCATTAATGCATATTCACTTACAACCATGTTATGGAGTGTTTCTCATTGCCCTGCAGACTAAAACTTGTAGCAGTTTCTTGAGGGGTACATGTGGTTTTATGCATCCTGCGTTAGTTTCATACCACAAGCCGGACTGGAGTCATACTAAACTTTTAAGGAGGGAGGCATAAAACCACATATACCCTGAGTGATCCTGCAACAACGACTTCATCTTGCCAACATCTTTCAATCTGCCATGGTAAAAGAGTAAAAAAAAATTGAAAACAGGCTCAAAACAGCTGTTCGATGGAGCTGAGGGTAACTTGTGCTGTGTCACATGTATTTCATTGACTCATAAACAATCGTAGCAGGGTGCAAGAGATTTATTGTCACGCTCAGAATTCCACTGTTTTCTTTGTGGCGGGGTAACTGGGATTGATTGTCCCACTCAGAAATTGATTTTCCCCACCATCTAGGATACGTAGTATTTTATCAAGATCACAATAAACCAATCTGATCTCAACAAATATTTTTGTTCCTGTCAGTTATAACATGTTTAAAGTCATTAGCAAATTATTCTCCAAAAGGGGGCACGGGTGGCCCAGTCGGCTAAGGCGCCGCCATTCACTGTGCAGAGTTGTGTCCCTTGGGCACGCCAGAAACTTTTGATTGTGGGTTCAAATCCCGGTTCGCCCCGATTATGTTTCTAGGTTTGTCAGCACCATACCTGTGCTTGTGGGTTTCACCGAAGTGGTAAGCGTCTGAGACCTGCATCACTTCAGGCTTTCCGCCCACAATAAGCGGACACGCCGCGATATAACTGGAATACTGTTAAAAGCGGTGTTAAAACCCAACTCACTCACTATTCTCCAAAAAGATGCTGATTAGGAACAAAGTCCTATGTGACAGAAAGTAGCTTCTGTGTTACTGAAATATATGGGAAGAAAGTTGTAAATCCCAGCCTCGTTTTTGCTTTAATTTTCCACCAAAGTATTTAACAAAGATGCCATGAGAAACACTAAGTGTCAGACATTATATAGCCATTGCTTATCAAGACTGTGATACAAGTTCTCTATCAGCTTCCATGCTCTTTATTAACCAAAGTAATACTATTCCACTTTCTTCCATGGTGTATAAAGAGATTTGCCATTTTTTCATGAAATTGTTCAAGAGATATTTGTGTTTTTTATAAATATTGGACAGTGCAAATGTACAAACTTACAAACACTTCCTAAAAGATATAATGGTCTGCCCAACACTGGAACCCGTAGGCTTACAATAACTAAGCTTGTGTGCTGTTTTATTTGGAAATGTGAATCCTTTTTGTGTTAAAAAAAATTAATATGTAAATTAAATTATTATTTTTATATGATGTGTGATATCAACAAACGTTAATATTTGATCATGTTGATTGTACCAGGGGATGTGTCGAAGGTTTGTAATGCCAATTTCAGATTCATTTTACCATTTTTCGTTTCACTGTTTCTGAATAATATTTGTGACCCACCGGGAAAAAACTTATGGGTGTTTGGGTACAATTATGCTGTAAAATAAAGATAGACTTTTGACATCAACTTACTTAATAAATAGTAAAAATTGCCAATTCTGCGGACTGTACAAAAATATAATATATTTTTTCTCCCATTAGTTCGTAACGTAATGAAAACATTATTTCAAAACATTTCAGCATACAGGTCTATGTTCAATTAATCAGATATTATGTCTAAAAACTGCAATTATTACATAAACAGTTACAAGTTGGTAAATGAGTCCAAATGTTTGATGTCATGTATCTCTGTAATAAATATAAATTGCAGCTTATCAGTTGTATTTTTGCTGTCCTCAGATACTGTAGTTTTAAATATAATATCAAGTCATAAAAATTTCATGTCATAGTGGGTCACATATATTCATTAGGTATTACCTATTATAATAAGAAGTACTCTGTGTATAATTTTTGTATATTGTGTTGGAGGGTTTCTGGAATTGGCACGCAAGCTTTAGACACTACCTTAATGCCACTGTTTGAGATGTATGTGTGACTATTTTTGTATATGATTACCAATCACTTGAAGTAATTTCACCTTCCGGAAATTACTTTTGTACATAAACTGTTCTGAACTATAATCATCTGTTCTGTTCTCCTTATTTAGCACCACCTGCTTTATGAAGTTATGGTGTATCATCTTCATAATCATTCATAATCATTAATATCAAAACCAGACTGTCTGAAAATTCATTCAAGCAAAAAACAGCCATCGCTGATTAAGCGATTAAGCGTTTTGGATATTTTCCAAAAAAATTTCCTGGGCAGTTAAAAGATTGCTGGACTAAAAACATTATTGACTGTTTATCCAGAGGAAGTTAATTTGTCTTTTAATGCGAGCGAAAAGATCTACAAGATTTAAAAAATCTAAATGGTTAGTAAACTTTAGGTACCTTTATTTGTTCTATAAAGCAAATTCCTTAAATGTGACATTACAAGCCTGTGTGTACATACAACTCACTATGGATGTGAAAAACTGTAAATTCATCAGACACGATCAGATCATAACAAATCTGTCCTACATCATTAATGTGATGCTACGTATATACTGCTAGGGGCCAGTCTTAGAAGGAAGGGCTCCATTGCATGTCACAAATATACTAGTATTGTGTGTAAAGGACATGCATCGGAGCCAACAGCAGGCAGTAAAAGATACAACTTCTTGGTGAAGAGTCACCTTACCTTGGTGAAAAAAACATTTTGAGTATCTACTGCATAGGGATGGTGCCTAGTGACTACATCGTTCGTTCAGAACCGTGAAGATCTGAGGTAGAATAGGTGTTGGTTGATGCATGTCATCGTATCCCAATTACGTGGATCAATGCTCATGATATCAATCACTGGCTTGTCTGGTTCAGACGCGAGTATGTACAGACCGACGTTATAGCTGAAATATTGCTGTGCGCGGTGTTAGACAACAAACAAACAATGCCACGTTGTCATGTAATTGCAGTAATCGTGAACGCGACATTAAACGCCATTTAACCTCACCTCAATTATGTTAACGCTGGTTTTATGGGGTTACATTCCAAATGCATTGTCCAATATGCTTTAAAGAAACACTACCTACGACTCAACACACATTTCCAGTCTAGGACAAGACGTTTCTGTGAATAATCTCAGTTGGAAATCAGATACATTGTACTGGGTAAACTGCTTGATTGATGTTAACGTGAAAAGGGGTTTCCAGGCACATACAGTGATGTTTGATCAGCTTAGCTGATCAGAACCTAGGTCAAGTCTCTTGAAGCGACCGAGTACCTTTGGGGATTGAGAAAGAGGTGATACACATTTCCTTACTGCATTGAGGCTGTTGCTTGAATCGTGAGGGTTTATTGTTATTTGAAACTTCTGATTGCCACATCGAGTAATCTCCTGGTAGAATAGTCATTAGATATGTCCTCTTCATCACTTCCATCAAGGACCTGTGAAGATCCGGGGTAGAATAGGTCCCCAGCAACCCATGCTTGCCGTAAAAGGCGACTATGCTTGTCGTAAGAGGTGACTAACGGGATCGGGTGGTCAGGCACGCTGACTGGGTTGATGCATGTGTAGTTCCCAATTGCATGCATTGATACTCATGATGTCAATCACTGGATTGTCTAGTCCAGATTCGATCTTTTACAGATCATACAGGTCATACAGGTGGAATATTGCTGAGTGCGGCGTTAAGCAACAAAAAAACTCTTAAGTTTAGTTGTCTTTTTAACCGTCCCAAGGGAATTTTAGGAATTATGGCTTGATTGATACATGTTATCGTATCCCAATTGCATGGATCGATGCTCATGATGTCAATCACTGAATTGTCTGGTCTAGACTCGATTATTTACATTCCGCCGTCATACAGCGGAAGTATTGCTGAGTGTGTCGTTAAACAAGAAACAAACAAACACTTCCATCATGGGAAGATGAAGATGAGGCAAGTCCTGGGCCCACTTGCACAAAGCAATCTTAGCACAACGACTATTGTAAGCCTATGTTAAAGTATGGGAGTTATGATCATCTTAGCGCAAAGATTGCTTTGTGCAAGTGGGCCCTGGACGTTTGCCACTTTGGCGAAACCCAGGAATACGACTGAACAGACGAAACACCGACAACGACACGTACCACCTTTTAACGTCTTTTGGTATGACACGACCAGGGATCGAACCAAAAAACAATGACGAGATGAATATAGGATTCCGAACCAGTGGTGTCTGGTACAACTGAGAGACAACTTTTCACTGCGAGTTTTGGCGCTATTTACAATCGGGTCATCTGTGACCTCACGCCAGGGTGAGTAATCAGGTTGAAAGACCTTCAAGTATGGCTAATAGGGCCACGAGGCACACTTCAGTTCTACTCCTAGTTTTGCCATTTTCTTTAAAGAACCCGAGGTCCTTTTCCAGCAGCATTAAGCATCAGCCGACAAACTAATTCTGTTTGTGAAGACCCTGAAGTGCACGTGATTTCTTCCCATCAACGTCATAATGGATGTGAACTGAATGCGGCCTCTGTACATTAGTCTGTCAAACACTCTTTACATCCTTAACTGTCCACAGGAGGATTTCAAATCTAATACTGGTGATGTTTTCTATGGCTTAATGCGGAATTAGACGACGGCAATGCATTGCAAGGGCCTACTAGAGAGGCCAAAATGAAGTATTAGGCTAAAGGTTTAGAACTTGTTCTGAAGGTGTTTATATAAGTTACAAGCACTTGGTTTCGGCATCTGAAGGTTCATCTTCCCGAGGCAAGTGAGTTAACTGACTATAAAAGTTCAGTTTCCACCCTTGCCGAACTAGGCTGGTATTATGGAGTTACAATTTGGCTGGACTAACGAGTCTATGCATAGTCCAACCAAAATCGTGCAACGTAATCGAAATCCAGTTCGTAAACTGTCATGCGATGTAAGATCCGTTTTATCACAATGTAGATCTTGATTATCGAGCAGATCGTCCTTACTTTCCGCCGCCATTTTGTTTGAAGCAAATGCGAGTGATACGAGAGGTGGAATCTGATTGGTCCATAGGAGAGGCTTAGAAGGGACATAACTGGTAATAGCCACTGGTGGCGCTACGATCGAGCCCAGGAATTCCAGCCAAGTTCGGCAAGGGTGGAAACTGGACTTTTAAAGTCAGTTGACTCTCTTGCCTCGGGAAGAAGCTGAAGGTTAGAAAATGTTCAATTTTCAAGAAGCGTTATCCAAAGAGTGAGTGAGTGAGTTAGGTTTAACGCCACTTTTAACAGTATTCCAGTCATATCGCGGCGTGTCAGCTTAATGTGGGAGGAAAGCCCGAAGTGACGTTTACCACTTCGGTGAAATCCACGAGCACGGGTATGGTGCTGACAAACCTAGAAACATAATTGGGGCGAACCGGGATTCGAACCCACAATCATAGGTTTCTGGCGTGCCCAAGGGACGCAACTCTGCACAGCGAATCGCGGCGCCTTAGACGACTGGGCCACCCGTGCCCCCCCCCCCCCGTTATCCAAAGATTACACCAAGTCTTTGACCGGAGCTGATTTTCGGAAAAGATTACGGGAAAAGTTACATCTAGTGTCCTTTACATACTTTTTTGCAAATGAAATGGTATTATAACTGTTTCATGGCAATCACTGGTTTGTCTGATCAAGACTAGTTCCACTGTTAAACGCATGCACACACAAGCACAAACACATATGAGCACACACACATAAACACACACACACACACACACACACACACATTCCCAAGGTGTTTTGCGACACCTACGATCAATCCGTACTTTCCTTTCAATAATACGAACTTTTGGGCTCTGAAATACTATAAAACAAACATTTTACATTCTCTTTTATCAATAATGGAAAGGAACACCGAGAATCTCTTCAATCTGCTTTAGACATGTTATTTTTCTGAACATTTTTGTTTCAGGGTCGGTGTGACAGTCTACCTGTCTATAATTATTATACCAAATTAATATACTACGTTCTGACAGTAGATTGTAGAGCACCACTTCGTCCTGTCCTCCCACATGAAGCTGACACGCAGTGATATAACTGGCATACAGTTCAAAGTGACATTAAACCAAACACTCACTCTCTGAACTTTAGTTAGGCCTGTATTAACCGAGGAATTTGTCTGCGAGACCACGTTCTTTAATAGTTTCCCTTCATCTCCAGGAACCAATACGCTAAGTAAATCGGTAAAAATGATTGATGGCGTTTCAGACACCATCTGAAGCCATTTCTGTATAAAATTTCAAGTTTCATATGACATTAATCAATAGACGGATTATTAGGACCTATTTATTCATAGCTCGGAACTGTTTGATCTACAACGGTTTTTTTGTTCTCAATCATTTGAATGTTAGATTTTTTATCAATCGAAAAGAGCTGTCACACTTGTCCTTTAATCGGAATGTCGATTCTTGCTGGAAGGGAGAATCAAACATTTGAAAGGATGGCCCGTCAAATGTCAGATTGAAGCAATCTTACCAAAATATCTTGCTAATGTCCCGAGGTACAGAGTCAAGACCTGGGTGTAATACGTTTTGGTTGGGTTTCCGAATACAATAATGTTCGGTACACAA